GGGAGAATTACATCATCCCCTGCTCCAGTGATGCTACCTTTCGTGCCGCTACCATGCGCGCAGGGAAACAACCGGGTGCGCGCCTTACACCCCCCCCCCGCGCCAGCTCGGTGCCACACTGGGGTGGGGGGGACCGGGGGGTGGGGAGGCGCTCCCCCGCGTCATTCACACACACACTCGCCCGCCCGAGTGTTTACAGCGCTCACACAGCCGTATTGTGACGTCGCCTGAGTGACAGCCCGTCGCGCCAACGGGGGGGGGGGCGCGGCCCCCCGACGCCGCGGCAGAACACGGGCGCCCCGCCCGCTCCTGCCCCCGTTCCGCGCCCCGCGGGCACCGCGGCCGTGCGCGGCCTCGCGGGGAGGGGGGGCGTGCAGAGCCCCGCCGAGCTCAAGACTAAACACTTCAAAAGTTAAATCCAACTCACACGCCCCAGCACCGACGCCGATTAGTTTGCGTTTATGACGTTTTCTGACGTTTTTAGCGCTTACTGTACGCCCGAGAAGGGATTTCTCGTGGGAGAGACGAGGTGTATTTGTAAGCGTGGGGTGTCTGTGAAGTTACACCGCTGATTCGAGTACGGGACACCCCTCCGAGAGCGAGCCGGGACGCGGGGGCCAGTCTCTTGCCGGGAAACATGCTCCTTAAGTGACTTTGGCACAGGGAAACCGTCGGCGTAGAAGCTGTCATATTGATGGCCCTGGACACTCCATTGTCCAGACTGGACAATAATTTTTTTTTTAAAGGGATATAGACTTAAGTACCGAGGACAAAACCTAAATTCCACACATCGTATGCTTTCCCCAGTGTTACAAGTGTAATGTTATAGGGTTAGAAACTTGTTGCAATATGCTACTGTGTTGGGAAGAAGTGTCTGTAGTGTTTACTCAGTCTGTGAAAATATTGAAGCAGTACTTACCCACTGCAAAGTCAATAAAACTGTATCACACTAAAAACAACAAAAAGTGCTTCACAAACTGATATTTCTCAAGAATTGTCTGCCAGAATGCAGCAGTGTAAAAATTATTGCTAAAACATCAGCGTTTACTTGTTGCAAAATTCAAGTAACCATGAAGCCCTGTTTAATAGTACACACAGTTTTTAATGTGTTAATGGTTTGGGTTTCTTCAAAGCGTATTAGTTTTTGAAGTCTGGGTGTTTCTATTTGTGCAGAAAATAGACTGAGAAGCTTTGAGCTCCTACTGTTACAAAAGTTAAAAGGAAACAAAGTTGAGCTGCTAAGTCGGCAGTCTGGAATGAGTCAATAGTATCTCCTTTGTCCTGCTAGCTTTCTCTGCTGTGGTGTATCTTTGCTCTATTTCCTCTGCACAAGCAAATGAGGATTTCTACCCTCAGCATATTTAATAGCCTTTATAGAACTCCTGGCTTCTAAATATTCTTATCTACCAGTAATATTTGAATGTCTGCCTTTCCCAGCTGTATACAACAGTCATAATACCATCAATGACAGTATGCTCACTTCTTTAACCGCATAGATACTTCCACATTTTCCATTATCTATAATTAATGGACCAAATTATTCTTGCTTTATTGTAGTAAGCCTTCATAAAAGAAATGAATATGCCTTTTTAAAGTATTCCATCATCTTGGTTTTTTGATCTTTTTTTTTAAAAAGATTGGGCCAGAGACACGTAGATGTAGATAACTTCCCTCCCCCCCCCCTTTTACTTGGGGATTCCCTGGAAGTCTCAAAGGGCAAGGAGGTAACATAGCTGGCTTTTACAACAGGATGACAGGACCTGACACAGGGTCACAGAGAATCTATGCTTGGCTAGCCCTGTGCTCCAGTTTTTTTTAGCTGGTAGCTAGTCCCTTGAGGGATCAATGTCAACTTAAGCATGCTAACTTCTACAGGCAATGGGTTGGCCAGTGCCCGAGAGCTGTGACTGGCTCCTGCAGGCTCCCTACTTCTGCTGCACTTGGAGCTTGAGTGTTGGCTGCCAGGCTGCCTTCATGGCTCTGGAGCTTGTCACAGAGAGAAATCAAAGTGGTAACAGTAGAAAGCAAGCTCCAACACTGCCTGTTTTCTGAAAACAAAAGGTGGGTAGATGTATTAGGTGGATTGACAAAGCAGCTTGGGCAGGGATGTGGCTTAATTGACTGAAGCATAGAAATTGGAGCCAACTCCCATCACCATGAGCTAAGTTTCTGTGTGCCTCAAACCCACTTTGCCCTCAAATTCTGGCCTTGAACTGGTATTAGTTGTTCCATAGATCTGTCACACTCCCAGAGATGATAAACAAATGTCAATTCAATATCCTACATGTAAAAGTATTAGTGTTCAGCAATTAAAATATCAGCATACTTTCTCTGTATTACATATGTATATCCTAAATTAACCCATTAAGGAACAAGGTGTATATATATATATATGTGTGTGTGTATAAATCTATGCACACACACATACACACCTTCTCATATTGATAGCTCTTTCTGGTTAAACTATCAAAAAGCATTGGATATTAGAGTTGGGTTACTAGAGTTCAAAGAAAAGTGAATTTGTATTAACTCACTGGGAAGTTGAAACTTGTATTTTAACATATACAGTATGTAGTTTTAATTTTATGTTACAGTATGAAGGCTTTTTAGGTCTGCAAGATCAAGATAATTTTTTTTGTTTATAAAAATAAGATTTGCTTATGATTAATTTATCTAAGTATGCTTTTCTTTTGATACTTGAAGTACATAAATGAGTAATTTAGCACATGATTATCTGAATGACCATTCCTTTCCTTTTTCACACTTGAAAAAGATTATCAGTCAACTCCTGTTGTAGTATTGTATCTGTGACCACTCTGACTGTACCATTTGGTGTCTGATACTTTTTAATTTTTTTTGCCATCTAAGTCTGTATTTCACCCACCAGTTCTTTTAAAAAAATGCAGCCCCATAATTCCTGATGATAACAAGCAGTTTTCTCTGGTGACCAGAGAAAATGCTATGGATTTCTAAAGCTTTCCTTTAAAACTCTAAACATATTTATATCTTTTCATTTGTAAAGAGTGTTACTAACTTGCATTTGGAAGTTTGACTGATTCAGACAGCATAGTTTTCCGGGTTCTGCAAGCAGGCAGTTCCAGTGTTTCAGCTTTTGCACAGTAGCACTTTAACAAGCAGCAGCCATGCATAACTAACAAGACTGCAAGTCCAGTTACTGCTTTTTAGAAGCTTCTACCCAGCTCTTATGTTATCCAAAGTGTCCATTTTATGTTGTTGCATCCATATGACAATACTATTAACAGCAGGAAAGTGCAGTAGTTATTTACAATGAATAAGATACCGGGGGGAGAAAAAAAAGTTTAAAAAAATGGAGCCTGAGGCACAGGAAGAAAGCAGCACAGCTCCAGCTATCCTTTTATAGTAACTAGTGTTTTGTGGAAAGTGGTTAAGAAAAGAAAACTCTCTCTTCCTTCCAGCAGTTAGCCAGTGATGGCATGATCCTTCCAACTGAAGACTGATAGCATTCTTGGATAAACCTTTATGCAGGTTTCATTTCTAGTATTTGGAAATGAGCAGTATTACTTTCCTCAGTTCCTTCTCTTAAACCTACTTCTGGATTCTGGGTCTTATCCTCTAGCTATATTGATAGACCTGTGATAGAACAGTTTCAAATTTATCATTAATGCTTTACTAAAAGCAATATATATTTATGAATATTTTTGAGCACTGTAGTAGTTTTCATTCATATTTTATACATGTACAGCTAACATTCTGAGTAAGGATAGATGATATTAGCTAATCAGGGCATGACTTCAAAATGCGTGCATAATGTGTACACAATATACACCTGGCATGGATAAAAAAGTGCTCTCAGCATGGATTACAGGTACAAACAAATATTTTGTAGAAGAGGAATGGAAATTAGGAAATCAGTAGTAGTTCATCAGATGAGAAATATGCCTTTAGACTGCATGAAGAAGTAAAAAACAAATGTGCTGAGAACTAGGCAACACTAGCTATCAAAACAGAATATTGAGACCACTGTACTTTTTCAGGACTCAATATCCTCATTTCTGGCTGAATTTGCATGAAAATCCTTTCTTATAAAACAGTAAATTTCACAAAGATTCCACTGTATGACAGTGTACTGATTGGCTGTCACAACTACTGACTAAATATTAATTTTGGTAGTCTTTCCAAGTTAAATCTATAAACTCCTATATCTGGATAACTTTTAAAACCCTACCCACAAGTGAAACTCTCAACAAAACAATTTCCTGACTTGCACATTGTCCATCATCATTTTAAAAGATTTATTTAGTAATTTCTTTAGTTTGTCAATTTTACTTTTATTAGTTGGATGGAGAAATATTAGATATTCTCTTTTGATTTGAAGTGCATTTCATCTTAGTTTTACAACACTAAGCAGAGCAACAAACACTGCAGACTAACTACATTAGTGCAATCACTTTGGTTTCGTAACTCCTACAAATTTCAATCCCTTACAAGCAATGATTTACATACCAGTGAGGGAAAATGAAAATGAGGGGGAAGCTCATTATAACACTGTAAAGTGTATTTAGTTTCTCCTAACACAGACTAGATTAAACCTGGCCTATGTCACAAGAAATGTGAAGGGTGAGAGCAGAGGGTACCTTCTCATTATGGTCATGCATAATTAATGCTCTCTTCACTCAATAGAGAAAACCAGACCCAAAACGGGAAGAAGGATCTGGACTACTATTTCTTTCACCTCTGCTCTCCACCCCTACCCCTTGAGCTGTAAAGAAAGGATCACGTTGCACTATTTTAAAAGCTGGTGCAGTACACACACTTCCTCAGTATATTGGCAAGCACTGGGAGAAAATCTCTTTCAGAGCTCCCCGCAGGAGTTCACACTGCTTCATAACATCCTTTAGTTAGGACCGTGACTTATCAACAAAGCTGAGCCTTCAACTGAGTGACGAAAACTTCTCCCAAAAAAACACACAATATTTTTAAGGACATATATGAATAACAATATTATTGAAATAACTTACCTTTGACACATGGCTTTGAATGCTTCACACTTGATGCAAGTCATAAAAACAACTATCACGATAGGTCAGCACTACAGGTAAAGTAGACCTGTAAATAAATTAAAAAAGAAATTAAGCAACTTAGGATAATTTCCTGAACATGCTAAATAAACTGAATTGATTAACACATTAAGGAATATAATCACTCTTTCTTTTATCCTACCATCTGAGCGCAGATTGCTACTTATTGGTCTTACAGACACTTCAAGTTAAATCATACTGCTGATGTTAAATCTACATCAAGGTGGAAGATGGATGGTGTTTTGGCCAAGGTTTGGAATGGGAGTTTAAACAAGGGCCATAATCCTGTCCTCAACTCAGAATTTCACCACTGGCTTTTTGATTCTAAGATAGGGACAATTAAAACTGTTCTACCTCTCACTGAATCTAAGAGACAAAATAATGCTTATAGGATACACCAATGCCACACATCCTAAGGTTATAAAAAGTCTAAAATAGGTAAGATCTGAAACAAGTGAAAAATCTGAAATAAGTGAAAAATCTGAAACTGTTCCCAAGGCAAGGTACCTAGTTAGCTGTGACTACTGAATGTCAAAAGGCTAATCCAGCTATGAAGATCTCTCTTAAAGGAGTTCTCATGCTGTATCATATCCCCACATAAAAAAGAAACCCAAAATTTCAGTGACTGAAATCCTCACCAGTCTTCCACACTCTTCACATTAGATATGAAGACCTGAACTGGGAAAGGGCACTAAAAGCCTCATATCTCACCAGGGATCCTCCTGGAGGAACTATGGAAGGAAGCCATGAGCCTCCTCCTGTTGGAATAGGGGAAGTTTTGGATGCAGTGGAAGAGTTAGCACAAAGTACTGCATAAATGCTGGGCTGAGTCAGTGGCACTTGGAGGCTAGAAGAGCTGTCAAGAGGCCCAACAGTGAGAAGGTATAAATCCTGTTTAATCTTGCCTCAGCCACTTCTACTTGAGCTCCGAGAGTTTTACAAGGAGTAAAATCTCATTCCAGGCTTAAAAGAAGCTTGAGGTCTATAGATAAAAAGCTGTATGTTACACCTAGGTATTACAATTTCAGTTGTTAATAATACACAGTTTCAACATATAGACTGGCAGATACTCCATTTGAAAGCAAGAATTAAAATCATGACAAGTTGTGTCATATGACAAAAAATTTACAGGTAGTAGCAAAACTCTCCTTTTCTCATGCATAAGAGTCATCCTTCTAAAGGGAGAGCCTGCTGGAAATATGCAAGAGGCACATGAAAATGGAGGGAAAGATAAGAAGTTTAGTGGAAGATATTGAGTTGGATGACTGAAGTCTTCATCAAATAAGAAAGCAGTCTCCTATCTACTTTCTGATGGTGTGTAAATGAATGAATCAAAGCCCACTCATTCTCTTGCAAATCATGTCACAAGGATTCTACGTGTCTATGCCCCTGAGGTCATGAGTGACTATGTATTGACCTCTGACAGACTCTTGCCGCCTTTCCTTTAATACAGCGAGCATGCACCTCTCTAACCATGTGAGTGCTATACATCCCACACTGCCTACCCTTCTTTTATTTTAGCAATTTATACCCCCCAAAATTTCCTATAATCTTGTGTATTTCTCTACGGCCTTTCCTGAACTGAGAAGTTTCTTGATACTTAAACAGACGTGTTAAGGAATAAGGAAAAGCATAAAAAGATTATTACAGGGAGAGTCCCAGCAACTTTTCAGAAAAAGGAATACTTTATTTCAAATAAAATAAAATTGTTTTCAATTGAAAGAGGCTCATGTTCATATTATCACTAAAACTTTTGCTGAAAGGGGAGGAAACAATAACTGTAGGCAGTAGTTCAAAAGGAAGTTCTGTTACAGTACAGACCAAAAAATTTAAGTTCTTACAGTGTATAAAATATGTAATTATTGCTGAACTTCTGCATATGCCTTAAATATTGAGCTGTGAGTGTGGACTGCTCTTTAATGTGTCCAATAGCTTTAATACTGAAACCTATACAAGGAAATAATTATTACAATAGCATTCACGAAGCACAAAACCAAGATATTCTTTCACTGAAACTTCTCCAGCTCCAACAAAGACAGCATTCAAAAAAAAAAAAAAAAGAAAAAAAGCATTCCAAAGACCACTGTAGATGCTGGACATAGACCGACTCTTGAGTCAAAGACAGACATCCACCAGCCAAAAGGAATAACTCGAACAAAGGAGAGACTTTCAAGTTTCAGACTTTCAAGTTCAAGACCTCTAGTTTGAACTTATCTATGTTTTCATACATCAGTAGGTTCCGTGGAGTTAGAAATATCCAGTATGTGTAATGAAAACAATCTCTATCAGTGGATACAGCATGAACATGATAATATATGTTTCCCAACCCTAGAGCAATTGTCAAGCAATTACTATTTGTCAAGGCAACACAGTTGATAGTCAGGGTCATCTAACCCTAGGTCATCTCCTTCTACCTTATTCTGAGGCAGGTCTCAGTAACTCAGCTGCCCAGCTTTCTTTGATTTGCTCTGAATGTAATTTGGAGATGCAGGTTTCTCTCCCTACACACAGTGAGGAAACTGAGGGAGGCGGCAGCAGCAGCAGCAAAGGGTTGCACTTTCTGCACCACGATGGCTCATATAAGCAACAGCTGCTGGGGTTTTGTTCTAAAACGAAGGAGGGCCTGTGCGGGTCAGAGGGGACTCCTGGACAAGTGATTATTTACCAGGACTTTCTAAAGCACTTGCAAGGCCCATATTGTGTTTGTTTAGGACCCAGAACTACAAGTGCATGTTATAAGCAGACTGGATGAATTGGTTTGGGTCCCTGAGTTCAATTATCAATTCTAGCTACCTTTTAAAACAGAAGGGATAAGAGCTTTGTCTTAGTAAGCCTATTCTGGTCTGGTTTTACATTTCCTTTTTTTTTTTTTATTTTAAAGGCCCTTTTTCAACTAAATATACCCGCTTTACAAAATATTATTCTTTTTGCTATCCAGATTGTGATTTCATGTCTGTACAATTTCTATTTAACCATCTATATAATGAATTTCTGATTCTTAATTTTTACATTTTATAATAGAAAATTAATGGCTTCTCTTTACCATGACTTGGTCTTCCAGCTATAATTTATAAAAGTGTGTGTGTAGATGGAAAATGGAATTCAATCCAAATGTAATAAAGAGCCCTTCATTTTTTATCAGTTAAATTAAATAACCATAAATGTACATAACATTTAAGAAAAAAAAATTATCAGAACATACTGCATTGAAAACAGATTCATTCAGCAAGAACTGATCACTGCTAGTTGGTGAACTTAAATGATTGTTTCTGGCTAGCACAACCTTCAAGACTTTGGAACAAGTACATCTCATCCTCTTACAGATTTCATTCATGGACCTGAAGAGAACAAATTACATTACCTGCTTTTTCATCTCCCAATGGATTTTTCAACTTTGAACATACTAGTCATTAACATAAACTGGATGAGTACATTAAAAGAGAAAAGGAAAAGCTATCAGAAGCAGGTTCCACATTCTGCAGGTTATAGTTCCAACTGCTCTGCCAGTGACTTCCATCCCTTCAGCGGTTTGACTTTATCTAAAACTTCGGCATAAAAAAAATGCAACACAGTATTCTTATTGTGTTATTTTAAAATACTATAGTAAATTTAACCTTAATACTGGCTCTCCACTTTCATAATTAAGCGGTCTTGTTAAAAAACCAACATTTAATTTAAATAAAGCATACCTATAGAATTCATTAAACACATATTAATCATTCCAGGAGGCCACACAAGTAACAGAAAATGTGAATTCCTTCCTTTCTTTTTTGTCAGCCATTTGCACTACAGTATGTTCAAACCAGAATGGGTTCCTACTGTGCCTGTTGGTGTACATACAAAGTTAAAGAGACAGAGCCCTGGCACAGAGGTTTGCCTTCATTTCCTCAACACCTGAGGTGGTAGAAGTAAGAAAACAAACAGGATAGGGGTTTTTTTTAGTGCACTGGTTGTTCAGGTGTATATTTACCAGAAGCAGGAGGCACAGGTTATAAGGATACTATGATGAGTTCTAGATCCTGTCCTGTTCCTCCATCCATTCTTCCCCTCCCCAAGCTCTAGCTGCACCTATGCCTATCTACTGAAAATTGGAAGGACTTCTGGCTAACCAGGGAACTGAACATAAGCATTGACCACCTTAATCTCTCCTAAAAATAGACACTTCACATTAAATTTCCTTGTCCTTACTAAGTGACTTAGGAGGATAAGCTTACTGTCAGGACAACTTCCCAAGTTTAAAGGAAGAGAAGGAAAGTTATTTCTGAGAATTTCCAAAGGCTTTGATCTTGGCTTGCTGTATTTTGGAATATGACTTACAGATTTGGTATCATAGATCTGTGGATTTGATTTATTCACTTTACAAGGATCAGAATGAAATTCCTCGTCCCAAATTACTGTGATGGAAACAACACTATCCCACGGATTTTCCATTAATTTTCTTGCTGTTCTCTTTGGCAGGCTCAAAGATTTCCTTTGCAATAAAGAAAATCTGAAGGCCAGCATAAGGAACAAGAGAAGTCACTACTCAGAATTACAATGGTAGCAACAAGTTTCTAGAGAGATGAAAATGAAGAAATTTTGGTTTAGGTGAAGGCAAAATTAAGTGAGGAAAAAGAGGAGAAGTAGAGGCATTTCTTTAACATGTTATAAAATCTTTTAAGTACTACAGACTAGGAAGTTAGCAAAGCTGAGAGTGCAGTAAAAGGAATGAGAATGACTGAGATTGACTATAGTTGATTGAATTTTAAAGAGGGCAAGGTCCTAAAAGTATTTTGTTTCATTTTTGCAAAGTCTGTGAGTAGGTCAAGATGCATAAATAAACTTTACTTTAAGAATACTAGAGAGGTCAGACTGGTTCAGGCCAGGCATACACTTGGCCCATTTACCTATCTACAACAGCTGTCATAAGCCAATTCTTATCCAAATATTCTCTCAGGGAACAGCAGGCCCAGGACAAGCACATTCGATAATGCCCATAGGTTCCAGCATCCAACTTTGTTTTAGCTTGGAGGGTTTCCTGAATCTGATGTGCTTTGTCTAGTCAGTGACCTTTACTAGATCTCTCTGCCAGGGTCTTGTGCAGTCTCTCCTTAGATCAATGAGAACTTCTTTAATCCATACTGTCTTTAGTTACATAATGTTGTGAGTATATTACCCATGAACATGTAAGCTAATATAATTTATTATATTATTTGCTTTGAACACACCTACTGCTAGTGTCCTCTGATGCACCCTCATTTATTTATTGATAGAGAAGGTGAAAAGTTGATTCCTGTCCATCCTTTTTGTCTGTGATTTTAAAACATTTATTGCTATTTTGAAGAGGAAAATTTTGGTATTTGTTAGAGAGGTGCTGTAATTACAGTCTGAAGAAGACTCCATCGCCCCTGGTCTGGAAATCTATTTCTTCTTAGGTCTGCCAATCAATCACCAGTTTGCCTGCTATCTGTGGCAGATGCTGAAGCTGCTATTGCAAAGAAGTCCTTCCAAGATCTTGAGAACTGGAAGCTTAGATGAGCACATTCTGACAGAGCCATTCTTTTCCACTGTTAGGGAAGATGCATTAGAGGAAAAGATGCAGTCGTGCATATTGTGCTCTTAAAACCCTGCTGGTCTTTCTGCAAGCAGAATCTAAAAAAATAGTAGGGAGTGGAAATAAAGATAAGAAAATTTGCCAATCCACATAAATCAGCCCCATTCAAAGCAAATTACTTGCTAATAACTAAAGCTCAAGGAATCAATGTAAACTCTATCTAAAATATGAAGCAGAAACCTAAAAATGAAGTAGTTCAAGCCTCCTCTAAAGGAGAAGGGCATTGTTTTTTGAGTTTGGCGGGAGATCTTAAGTGGACATAATTAACATCATAATAAAACCAGCAGAAGCTTTTGAGAGTTTCCTATTATTTCAGTAGGAGAGTCATATATACCCATGCAGTATACTCCCATTTTCCCTACTATGTGTTTTACAAGGCACAGAAATATTTCTCAAGCAGACAGGAAAGTCCAGTTTCTATTAGTAAAGAATTATACAGGTAGGTAAGAGAGGTCTCTGTTCTTAGGTAAAAATATAAACAACAGCCTTTTAGAAATCTTACTACAAGATAAGGTATATTTTACCGCTCCACAGAAGAAGAAAAGCAGCTATTGCAGAAAAAACAGACTTTGAGAGAAAATATGTTAACTCCACTTAGTGTCAAAGCTACTGCACAGTCCCATACTACTGAAGTAGAAGAGGTTAAGGGATACTGATGATGCCGGGATACTGATGATGCCAGTATACTCAAACAGAAAGTCTTTTCATTTAGGTTTGTGAGTAACTCTAGTTAAAGTGACTCTATTTGACACAAAATGATCTGTACTGTTGCAAAATAGTTTCTGTCAGCAGATTTCACCTAAACAACGCCCAATCTATCAGCTATAATCCTACTGGGTTTGGCTGCAGGATCTGATTATTATTTCAGAAGAGTATGTCTGGCTAAGCAGGTAAAGAGAATGTACCAAAAGTTTCACAAGACACAAAGAAAGGTAAAAAACAAACAAAAAAAGGCACACAAAGCCCATATTATTAAACAGGTAAACAAAACATTTTGCAGGAGCTCTCAGCATCCCTCTAGTTAGAACAGACACTTATTTGTATCTGTTATGAACAAGCACACATTTAAAAGTCCCCATTTGAAAAACATAACTCTGGAAGACAGGTCAGTCCTGTTGACTCCCTGATACGATGGTTAGATATGCTGAAGGTTAGAAATGCTCAAGAGCCTCGGCCCTAATCCCAAATGTTGCCTGGTTCTGACTGGTTTAACTCAGAGCCATATGTCACATCAAAGTTCTTGCCCCTCAATGGCTTGTTGACAAATAGATAAGTAATTATCACACTAACTATCGGCACTTGTTTGGGAAGTCTCTGAAAAACAACCCCAAATTTACTTTCTGTTCAAGACAGAGGGTACTGAGTCTGAAATAATTATATGGAGAGAAAGCACCTCCTGAACATCACAGAGATTTTGAATGGGAGCAAATCCCTCTCTCTGTCACCCAGACCCTTAGTACTTTGAGGTACGAAGGTGACACTGTAATAAGTGTCATTTGTTCAAAGTGTAATGAGGAAAGGACTTCTTTATGTACTCCAGACACCTGATGCCACATGTACCAGGTCATTGCAAGGCTGTGCTTTTAATCAGTTTTGTGCACAATGTAGATAAAGTACAAAATGTTTTGGGAGAGAGTATAATTGCTGAGATGTTTTCACTGATCTTAAAAGATGACCTAGAAGCTGACTTGGTGAAACTGTTGCTGTCTAGGATCTCTCCTCTGGGAAGTAAAAAGCTCTTGATAATATGATGTATAACAGCAAAACCATAACCAAGTGTTTTAAATCAATGTTGGTTTTGTAAGTCTGAGAACTTTTGATCACATAGTTTTAGACTTGTGTGAACTGAATCAGTGATCTGTGTGGTACTACACCTCAATCCTTTATCTTCTGAGGCAGGCTGTGATGATGGCTTCTTCTTCTGGGAGGAGGCAGCGCAAACACAAAGTCAACAGAAAATTCCTGCTTGTTTCACGACAAAGACTGAAGAGCAGCACTCTGTAATGTAATCTAGGGTTCCTATGAGGAATCCAAGGTCTTTTCTCTGCTGCATGGATCCCTATGTAAAAATAGACATCTTGCAGGCTGGCAGTTCAAAATCCCTGAGGATTAGTAATTGGTTAGGAGATTATGGATACTACTCCAGTCTGAATTTGAAATAGCAAATGAAATTGCTGAGGCACGGATAGTTGACACGGAACTGCCAGACCCCTCACCCTTTCAGTAAAGTTGTAGAGACAGAAGGCCCTGTCACTGACTTGTAATGGTACATTTGCTTCTGCAATCAGTCGTAGAAGGGAACCTATTTCTGATGTTTATTGTTTCTAATAAGCTAGATAGCTTGTTATAGAATAAGAGAGAGAAAAGCCACAAGGCCAGCAAGTCACTCAGCACTATGTATGACACGGTACTGAAATACAAAGACAATTGCTATTATCAGGGCTATAAATACATAAAGCACTTAACACAAAGCCAGTCACTATCAAGGCCCCTGCAGGGAATGCCAGGGTATGCAAGTAATAAAATTGATCTTTTTAGGACCCGGACTTTAAAATACACGAATCAAAGACATGCCATATTGCTGATGAATCTTTCATCCCTAGCTACATGCCTGGGCAGCAACTTGTGTTGAGAGTCACATTCTTCTTGCCTCCCTCAGTCTTCCCTGCCAATACAAGTGGACCCTGCTACTGGATATGTTCCAGAAGATCAGAATCACAGCTTTTAGGACACTGAACAAGAGAGACTGCCTTAAATCATAACTATAGCTTTACTTGTGGAATTCAGTAATAAATTGATTTCTGTTTAAGGGACTGCTTAAGAAGGAGGTCTCTCCCTCCCCTGCTGTATGTTTCCTCTTGGAAAGAGGAAATGTTACTATTGGATATGTTGCTCTCCAAAGAATCACATTAAGGAAAATCTTAAACCCCAGTAACCTATGACTCCTTTATCCATATATAAAGAGATATATCTAGTATGTTAACTCAAACTGTATTTTGCTAATGGTCATAAGGGGACTTAATTTACTCCATGAAATTAATTATACTATCACAAACAAAGTTAAGAAAATCACACAGTGCATGTACTGCATTATTTCCATCTCTGTGGTATGATGAAAATAATGAAATCATCAATATTTGCACTCACGTGGCTATTTAATGCCCTGAGGACAGTGGACATGAAGGTGCTTCAAGTAGTAGTCGGCTGATACCATTTAATGGACTCTGCTTATCCAAATAATTTGTCCTTGCACTCCAGGGGCACATGCACACCACCAATGAAATCCATCTACACAACCACTCAAAGAAGCATCCAAAAGCATACCAGATGAGTTATTAATGTTCTTTGTAAAAACTGGGCAATTAAAATAACTCTCTGTGCTTTGGCCAACTTGGGTGGAAAACTGGGCTATACAAAGTAACACAAAAACTGCATTAATAAAGTAACTACTTCTTTATACTGTTGCTGTACCTCACATTGTTAGTCTGGAGAGCCCAAAACTGCAACAAATGCAATTTCTAGTTTTCTAAATAAAATATTTTCATAATTATGATGTTTTCTTATCTATTTCTCAAAACTGGACAAAAATTATCCACACTCCTAAACACTAACATTTACACTTTCCAACCTATATCTTTCTGATGTAGAGTTTGCACTACTTTGTTCAGTCCAATTGCGGTTACGTTAAATATGGGGATTACATTACATTATTAAATCTGCTAAAACAGAATAACTCAGAATAACTGCACACCATGTTTTCCCAATTCTACCTCCAATATAGATTCTCCTGCCAAGTTAAATAAATATTATATCATTCCAGTTTCCTTATATGTGCTGTTTACCACACTTAATCAAAGTGCATATATTTTTTCTTCCTAACCACACTTTAATTATTCTTACTGTTTCTGGATGTCCTTATTTAATCTGTAAATAATATTTTTAAATTATTAAATTATAATTTCATTAACACCTTTGAAAACAGGGGTTAGATCCTTCTATATTATTAACTCTGTATGTTTCTGAGTATTCATACTACCCAAAAGAGACACAGGCACCTTGCTGGGGATTGATTTCTGTAGTAGTTGTGCCGGGCCTCTGAAGATATGCAGGAAAACCAAATTTCTCATCATAATAAATCCCTTCTGGTTAAGTAAATACTCTCTGTAGTCAGCAAATTTTTTTTAACTGTTCAATAAAATATTAAATGGGAAAGCTTAAAATACAGTTTGCATTTGCAACTGTAAAAATGAATGTTCATTTACAGTAATTATTAAGTTAATATACATGTTGAGAAGCAAGTTGTCACAAGTAAAACCAGACAACCTGAGGTTTCAATTGTAAGTAAAAGGAGCCTTAGTATTTTTTTCATTTTTCTCCATTTGTTCAATTGATCAAGGCATCTTGTAATTTAGAAACATTATTCTTTCTTCATGAAACATCTTGGATCGTAAGTTACTTCGACTGTCATGAGAAGTCAAGTCACATAACTTTCGGAGGCCTTTTTAAAGCAGTATTCACTTCTATCCAGGAATTACGTTTTCCTATCCTTGTAAAAAAGTGTGAGTTAAACATTCTAAAGTTATTTGCTGGACATGTTCCTCCAAAAACTTCTCTCACCTATACTGTTTTTCTTCTATATAAAGTGCATTAATATAAAGATGCAGTGGTATGTAAGTCATATTCTCGAATAATTCTATTCAAGTTTACAACAATCTTTCTCCAGATCGGCTTGTATTATAAAGGCTGTAAGACTTTGGTGGTCTCTTTGTAAGTCAATTCTCAAATACCATAAGCAGATGCTTCCTACTTTAAAAAAACAACCAAACAAAAAACCCCCCCAAAAAAACCAAAAAAACAACCAAACAAAAACAAACAAGCAAACAAACAAACCAAAAACAAACCATAAACCAAAGCCAGGTAAATCTAAACGATTCAAGTGTAGTATTAAACAGAAAAGTTATACTGGAACCCCTTGGTTCCTTATCAAGTTAATAAGACACAACAAGCTACAAAAGTGAAGGGGTACTACTTTTCTTATTTAATCTTCCTCTCCAGGATGTTAACTGAGTGAAAGCTACTTGATTCTCTGTACACAATTCACATTTTTAATACAGTTGCTTCTAATAATTGAAATGTTTTTAACACAGTTTGAGGGGTGAAGGTACAATAAAATGTCCATTTGCAAATGTTCACAGCCTTTCCTGTCACAGACCCAATACAAGAAAAATGACTGGAAGATAAACACTTTAATTTGAAGACTTTAATTACTGTTTGATATGAACACATAAGTCCTTAAGCACCTAACAGATTTCTTAGAAAGCACAGACATGCTAGCCAGTATTCTGAATAGAATGAATTCTGTTAGTATTCTGAATAGTCAAATGATCCTCATTCCTTCAATATTCTTGCCCTTATGTTATATATTTTATGCTCTAACAGAAGCATATACATGGATTATTCCTGTTTTAATCAACAATGAACCATACATTTTCTTTAATGTTGTTTTTTAGTACAGAAAAATAAAATAACTTGAGGTTTGGAGCAGAAATGCAAGTGATACTTTCTAATATCACTAACTAATTTCACTTTAGGGTTCCATTATCACAGCATAGATACTAGGTTTCATTTTTATTACTAACAGACTTTATTTATCACTGTAAAAATAGCCCGTTAACCACAGAAAGTAAAATTCACCAATAAAGTTCTGGTTTTGTTTAGGAATCAGACTTTTTCAGATTATCTGTCAAATAATAAACCCTAGTCATCTATACCTGACTTAAAAGAAACTACATGTGTTTTGAATTCAGAATATTTCCCTGTAATACCTACAAAGGTATACATACCTGAGGAGTGTGTGCTAGATAGAATTAGAAGCCAAGAAAAAAGGGTATTGATCATGCTGAAACCAGCTTCCTGACCAGAGAACCAAGCAGTGTAAGCAGAACAATAGCACTGCTTGTATGAACAGGTAACATGCTTTATCCTTATTGATGAACTGTAAATAGAAATTATATGTATATGAACTTTAAAATTTAAATAAGTGAAAATTAAAATATATAAAGGCATACAAAATTCAAGAATACATCTTTCAGCAAAAAAGACACCTGATTTATGATGATTTATCATGCGTTCGGACTATCTGATTTCATCTCCACTTTCCAAACTTATTTTTCAAATTACTTCTTAATATTCCAAATTATTTATTGAGTGGAGCCAACAGTTATAAAAGAAGATAGGTGTAAGAGCATTTTGATGACAGAAACTTTTTGTCTAATCCATTCTAAATTGCCACTGAGGAAGATGCTGCATCATCGACAGATAGGTTGGTTCCAGTTTTTAACTGTCCTTGTACTCAGAAGGATTTTCCAAATATGTAGCCTGTTATTTTTGACTGCAAATTAAGATAATTTTTTCTTGTTCTTCCACAACTGGATACAAAAGACAATTGGTGACCATCTTCTTCACAATGATCTTCAGATGTCATATTATTTTCCCCAGCTTGCTCTTGACTAAACAAATACAACTCTTTTGAAACATGCCTTATAAATCTTGCTTTCCAAGAATGTTTTCACTCTTGTTCTCCTATGGATTCTCCTTTACCTGAAAATTGAAATAATTTTCCTTTTTCAAACTTTATTTTAACACAAATAAAACAATTCTATTCACTGACTTTTACTCTGGCCATTTTGAATGAGTGTTCTTTGATTTTGCTTCATCTGTAAATGGCAGTATCAACATTACTTGAAATTTTACAATTACTGTAGAGAAGTAGGCCCCACAGACCCTTGAAAAAAATACACCTCTATATCTTAGTAACTTTTCTGGAAATGAGTAATGACAATTTTCTTTGAATCTAGAGTAAGTGACTTTTTCTTAGTTTTTCCTTTTCTTCAAAGAACTGGATAAAGCAGGGATTTTGTATATATCTTCTTAGTTTTACAGTTAATAGCTAAAACAAGAATTATGCTATTCTTAATAAATAAGCAGGCAGATAGACGGATGGACAGACAGGCATAAATCTAGTTTTTCATTGAGAATCAAGCACAACAACAAGAAGGGAGATTTGACTCAAAGCCTGGATCTCTCTCTATTGTCTCAAAAAAGGTAATGTCTGCTGAAATAGAGTTAGAAGGTTGTTGCTAGTTGAAGTACGCTATGGAGTCTCTCTTTGATGATTACACAGTTACTTGTTTGTCGTAAAGGTATGTCACGCTTTACATTGTTTTCAATGAGTTTTGCCTAAATAAAGAGGAAATATTCTGGACGAAGAAAAGTAAAACAAAGGATATATGATAATAACAGATAAATTCTGCAGTGGTGATCTGTCTTCACATTTTTTACCAAGTGTCTGCCTTTAGAGAATCTAGTTTCTTTACTTTTTTTAACCAAAAATAGTTTATCCCAGGAACCTTCAAATTATTTCCTTGGAAAGAAGGGGGGGAAATAAAAGGAAGTGATAAACTGCACAGCAGTTTATGACATTTAGCCTAGATTTTCTGCTTCTTTGCTCTACTTCATTTGTGCAGACCACGGAACTATACCATAGTCACATATGAAAGTTCTTCTCAGAAGTGGTTTCTACAGTTTGGTTTTGCTTTTTAATATTCAGATAGTTTAGTCATAGGGTACTTTCACAATGAATTCCTGAAATTTAGTAGTCGTTCTTTGTAATCTAGTTAATCTATCCATCTGCAAAATGTTCATGATGCCTAGGTGTACTCTCAATAGACTAAGTAAATGGGCTGAAGGGCTCCCAGCAGCACTGCACTTCTGCTCAGAGACACCCAATCTCCACCTCCAGAAAAGCCTCTACCCTTCAGCCAAACTTCTGAATGCAGTTATTTTCTCCTTCCCATATTCCAACTTAGCTTCCAGCAGCTCCTACAAACTATGTTCCCCCACTTCCTCAAGAAACATAGAGAGGCAATCCCCCAGCAAGTGATTATTCAAGCAGGAGCGATGGGCACAGAGTGTATTCACCATGAAGGGAGAAGCAGTCTATGAAAACTTCTCTAGCAGACAGTCGTACCCGCAGTATCTGCCATAAGATTTTTCGGAATGTCTTTTTGCAGAAGTCTTCAAACTACTCTTTTCCTCAAAATAGGAACTACCAGTTCTGGTAGTTCAGACATTAGGTTTAGAATATGTAATGTACTCGGAGAGAAGTGGATAACTTCAAGTATTTTGTTTGGATGTTTCATGTAATTTTCTAAAACTATATTCAGGGGCATCCCAGTATTATAATTTTATGTAATTCACTTGCATTTCCAAATTACAAGGTCATTATAAGAAAGAATACTTCTTTTTTTCAGCTAGGTATGTAATATATGTGACAGATTTGCTCTATGTTATTCTTCAGCTATGTGTATATAATTCTACTTTCTTATATTCTTCATTCATATTTTCTTGCTTTTTCAAATGTAGTTTCTATTATTGGCAAAAATATATTCCTACTGATGTCAAAGCAAGCCAAAGGTACAGAACTGTACATTCATACTACAGAAGTGATTTTTCCTAACATAGTTCCCTACTGTGTTGCACATCTGGTTGATGGCAATACAATAAAGCCAGAATAGCCACTTAGTTCCTCCAGAAAAGCTGCCTGCATTTCTGCAGGACTGCTTCTCCAAATACTAAATTAACAGGAACATTTATGCTGAATAGTTGTTAGGATGGTGTCTTTTCTTATCAGTGTTCCATTAGGAATAATTTCCTATTAAGAACTGTTTCCAAACACCTACTTCCAATTTTACTTCTCAAACTCTGGCTATTTTCGTTTGATTTATAGCATCCTAAAATTTTGCCCATTTTATTTCATTTATGTCCTTTATGTCCTCAGCACCCACCGGAGTAGCTGATATCTTTTCAGAATCTGCATGTTGTTTTTATCTGAGCAGTTTATTTCCTCTCTTTACCTCTGAGTGACTTAAAAGATAATACTCAACTGAACCCTAACAGATCATATTCCAACATTGTCTGACTTGCCACGTTTTCCTTTCCTTTTTTATTTTCTGTCTTCAGATTTAAGATGTTAATCTCAGGTCACAAAGTAGTCTATGAATGTAAATTTATTTTTTCTTTTTGTGCAGTTTTTTCTGCACATAGTTTTCTACAACCTATAAAACTAGAAATTATCATGAAAATAACTGGTCAAAATATGACCTGGAGCCTAATAGTAATTATATCACATGCTGAAAAACTGTCCAGGTAGTACAGAGATTACGCTAATCCCAAGACATTATTGCATATCCTTTTTTGAAAAGTGTATAAATATTCAGTAGAATCCTTATCCCATCATGTGCATGATGAGGTGACTATTTTATATTGAAGCATGTCCACTTCAGCATTAGATCCTTCTTGAAAATCTCAGAATAAAATGCTATAAGCATTAATGCATTATATTTCAGGCTTTTATCCTACAAGGAGGTCCACACAGGTGGGACCCAAACTGCATTTTAATAATGAAGTAAATCCATTTACCCAAATGGTCCTATACTGACTTCCTTATTGTAACCTTGCTTAGCTTGAAAAGAATATTCACTCATCTAACTGGCTTTACAGTTTCAATTTTAAAATGCTTTCACATCAGCTAAGTACTGTTTTTCCTTTTATCGCCCTACTCTGACTTTCCTAAGTTACCAGGTTTTATTTTATTAGATTTTTTTTATGCTTTCTTCCCTTTTAATTGTCACACATTATACCCAAACTTAATACATTCATTGACATTTCTCGTCTGAAAGATACCTATAGATTACTGGTTTTCATTCCATTGCATTTTTGATTTAGAGCAGGCTAGTACAGTTGTAATTATTGCCAACTGGATGTAGTGCATAAGATTACATCTGTGTTACTGAGCTAAACAGGGCTCAGGCACATGCTTGAGCTCCATCATGTGATAATCCACGCCATTTAACTGTTAGCCTGCTCTTTGGTATGCTTCTCACCTAGGCCAGCAAGCACTCAGGTAAGACACTGCAGGATGTGGGGAATAACATGGGTTAGGGAGTCTTCTTATAGGCAGTATGAACAAGGCCACCCTGGCTCAGGAGAGCAAATGGGTTAGCCAGGCGAATGTGAGCTATAATTTGCTAATGACTCTTGACTGGGTCGTGGAGCATTTTGTTTTCTAGTACAGATGTGATCTAACAAATTAAGTGCCATCAAAGACTGGTAGAGCGCCTTCTTACGATCCTGTTACCAGACCTATGCAAAGGATTTGAGCTGTTGGCATGGGAGAAGGGTTGACTGTGACTTCCCCATGGCAGGCAAATTCTCAGCCTGTGAGTAGGAGTGGATCTTGGCTACCTTGTGCTACCTCCAGTAGGCAGAACAGGGGTACAGAATCTGGACCCCTTCATATCTTCAGGTACTTTTCTATACTTTCCATTACCATTTCTGTTAGCTGCCTCTTCAACTATCTTTTCAAATAAATGTTCTGATTTGTAGACAGTGGTCTTAGATTTCCTTTTATTCAGTACTATTCTACTGGAAACAAAGAAAAAATTAAACACTCGAGAAACTTGAGAAAAATCTGCTTTCTAGTGTTTCTTTAAAAGTCTGACATATTTCCAGAATATATTACCCAAATGATACAAAGTCAATAATTAGGCTCTCTTAGACAGCATCTTATGGTCCAAGCTCTCCTTCGGTTTTATCTTTGCATGATAGCAAGCTTAAAGTTCCCATTTCCAATTCTGTTTTCTTTTCACCTACTTTATACTTCACTAAACATTTATTTACAGCAGAATCTTTCTCAGTCTATTGCAATGTTACTGCTGAACCAGTTGTCTGCTATTACTCTTCAAACCCATTACCTTCCCATCAGTGATTTTCACGATATGTTTTTTCTGCTCCTTCTACGAAACCAGAAGATTTGTACAGTCATAAGGTCTTAATTCTGGATCTAGTATCTCTTTTTTCCTGATCACTATCGGATCCAGGACTGAATTAACTCTCATTACTTCTTCCAGTTGTTTTAAGTACTACACAAAAATATCCTCCTGTAACCTACTTTGAAACACCTCTTGCATGTAACTCAAATTCTTCTTTTACAGCTTTTCATACCTTTTCATACACATAGCAATATATCTATATATATATCATACATATAATATGTCTGTATATATATATGATGATCATAGAGACCCTCATAAACCTAGAGAAAGACAAATGATTCAATCCTTCAACACAATCTTCATGGATTTTGCATCTTCCATTTTCATTTGTGAAATTATTTCTGTGTCTGCCAGCCATGTGAATTTCAGGATCTGCAAGCAGAGTGGTTGTTTTATAAATTATGCTTCTCTCACCTTATATTCCTTATATTGCAACAGATAGTTATATTCTATTTATGTCTTAGCCAGACTTGTTTGTAATGCGATCAAAGAACATTTCTTGGAATTTGTAGTGGTACTGCACCTCTCAAGACTTAGGTACACACCTGTACCTAAGCTGTGTTTATGAACAGAAAGACTTATTCTTTCATGATTATTTCCTGCAGGACTTTATAGATGGAGTATGTTTTCACATCTTGATGTAGCAATTCACTCAACTTTATTCTCCTCCTGTAGATGTTTCCCTGTGGTTACACTTACTCATTTGCTGAAAAATCTTTCCTGTTTTGTTAGTATTTCCAGCTATGCTTTCCTCACTGTTCCTAATATATCTAAAAATAAAGACTTTTTAACTGATTGTTTTAACTGAGACATTATCACTCAAAAATTGCAAATCAAAAATATACAAAGTATATTATCTTCAAACCACAAATCTAAATTTTAGATTAGTAGTACTATCAAACAAGTAGTACTAATTAAAGAAGTACTATAAAACAATAGCTTTGTAACTTAACAAGTTATATCAATACAGTACTCTTGAAACTAATTTTCTAAAACTACACTAATTTAAGTCAGTTTCATGTACTTCCTTCTAACAATAATACACCGTTGTTAGAATTATATTATTTCTCATGATGAGTAAAGCCTTATACCATAACTACTCTGCTGTAAAATGAATATGACTATTAAGTGAGGGACTATTTCAGGATTTGTATTGCATTATATAGTTAATAAAAAGGACAAATCTTCAGTAAGCAATAGTGACTTAAATGCCAATTTATACCATTTGAGGATATACCCCAGAAAGTCCTATCAGGTTTTACATAGTTTTTAATATTCTTTCTTCTTCTATGGATGATTTCATATAGTTCTTTTTTACAAAAATCATTGCAGTTGATGTAAGTTCTTTCTGGCAAAAATCTTCCTGCTACTATTGTTCAACACAAACTCTATCATTGGTGCAACTGTTTTAGAGATTCCAAATTTCCTCTGCTTTCTAATCCTTGTCTACAATGTCATGCTCATGCTCAGTAAAAAAAAATCTGGCAAAGAAGGTGCTTTTTTAATGGCCTCAAAATTATGCAAAGTACTGCCTATAACTACATTAATTAAAAACTTTTAGGCACCATAAATTACATTCTCAGTCACATCTCCAATCATTTTCTAGCATATTGCTATTATTACTTCTATTATTATTACTGCAAATTACTGTAAGTATCAGAAGAGGCTTCAGAGTTATTTTACACACCTAAAGCCAAAGTTCTGAACTGTATGATCACAAACACTATTTATGTTTTATCATGGTATTCCTTTTATTGCAATCCAAACAATTCACTTTATCTAAAGGACATTTAGTATAGATAATAAAATATGTAGGTAGCTACCCCATAGAAAAAAAACTTTTATTTAATATTTCTGCTATAACAGAGTGTGATTTTCAAAAATTCTCCTGATTTTATGGATCTATATCTTTAAGTTGTCTTTTTTTTAACTCCTTATATTAATATCAATATCAATACAAAGCACTCTTTCCACTAGCATTTTTCTTTATCTGCAAATAAAATCTGAAAACTTATGCCATACTATTTATGAACACAGCATGTTTGCTTTTATTCAGATGCTCCTTTTAAGTTAGCATTCCTATATCGAACAAGTACCATAAGTCTTTATTTTTACAGGAATGTTTATCTCTGTCCATAATTATTATTCCACGGATGCAGGAAGCAAGGTACTTTGATCTTCTGAAGGCACATTTATCATAAAAAACTTTAAATGCTGTCTCCGAATCGTTAAGTTTCTTCTTTTCCTTACTGGAAGTCCTACAATAGCAGATCCATCCAGTGTTTAGAAGTATATATATTCTTGAGTATATACAATCATGCTCAAGGCAATATTTTAGGCAAATGGATGCACACATATGAGAAAAAAGGTACCAGTATTGAACCAAAAGAGTAAGGAGAGTCCAGTGTAGAAAGGAACCAGAAACTTAGGTTAACAGAAGGAACCGAAAAAGAAGGGGAGAAGACAGAGAACTCAAGAGAAGGAGATAAATCAAGAAAATATTACCATAGGGAGAAGGAAAATAATTTCATCTTTTAATTAGTTAGACCTTACCAGTAACCAACTTTGTAAGTCTCCCCCACTTTTTGCAAGTGAGCCATATAGAAATCAATTGTTAAAATAAAGACTAATGCTGTATTTTATTAAATCTATACGTCTTTAATATGGATTTTATACTCTTCACACTGATTTTACATTTCTACAAACATCTTTAAATCACAATTACATTAGGAAACCAGCACATTTTATATGAAGGCAGAAGAACAATATTTTTTGACTATTCAAAACCAAAAAAAAATTAATGAGTGCCATATTCTTCTTTTTCTATGTCTTCACTACAGTACTATCAGTCCCAGAAAATACTGGTATCAGCATCAAAGGAAGGGTCAGCAATCTTTCACGTCAGAAATTAGGACAATAGTTTCAACATGGATTGTCAGAGAGGTAGCAAGTGAAAAGCTTCAGAAGGCATGGTAGCTAAAAAGAGTCAGGAAAAGAAAAAAAATAGGGAAAGATAAGGTAAGAAGATCAAAAAGGACAGGAAAAACAAAATACACAGAAAATGGCAACCGTAACAATTGTGTTTATTCATATTAGAAACAGTACAAGAACACTCACAGAAAAGGTGAGGAATAAGGCAGCCAGTCTTAAAGAGGTCTAGAGAAGAGACCTAGTACAGTATGAAATGCTCAGTTATTCCTCAATTAAGGTGACAGCCCACTCACTAATTTTAGCTTGAGCAAGTCAGTTCAGAGGAGGATTCCTGTGAAGTCAGTAGACTGAAATGGGCACCTCCAGAGGGCAATTCATCCCATCCTAAGGTCTGAATCTTAGAGTTTGAATCACATAGTTGAAATGTAATTAATTTTGTGAAGTTCACTAGGTATTTACAAACCTAGCATCATATCTTAAAGCTGAATACTTACAGATAACAACATCTGGATTAAAATGAGATACAGCATATTTTCAACTTCCCTTAATCTGAACAAGGAATATTTACAAATTACTTTCATCCACACAGACCATGTAATAGGTTTGAGTGGCATAATATTTTACTACTTAACACTACTTGTGTGCATTACACTGAGTACAAAAATGAAGACTGACCCTAACAAAATAAAGGAAGTTTGTTCTTCTGTCAGAACTAATTAAGTACTACTGGGGCTTTATGTTTATCTGCTGCAAATAAAAATTAAAGCTTGACATCACTGGGATTCTATATTCACAACATTCACAACATAACAGTAAGGGCTGATCATAAAATACAGCATGAATTCTCTTATTTAGAACTTCTAAAAGTTTTATGAATTAATATGAATAGTACAGTTATGTCAGTTTTTCAGTATTCAGATCTTCACTGGGTGCCCTTAAAAACTGCTGCTCAGTGACAGACATGGCACAGGAACGGGAAACCTATCACATAGCAATTTATAGAATAGTTCTTATGTAGACCTATCTCTATCAGCAGAAATTAATACACTACATTCCAAAAAGTAGATGTTACCATTTCAAAATTAATTGTGAACTGGCACCATAAGGCTTCTCCCTGCTCCACCCATTTTCCACTCTCTGTCTCCAGTCAGCAATGGCGCAGTTTTAGAGGGGCTGTACATTTACTGCTGTACATCTGCTCAGAGCTCAGTTACACTAAAGTGTTGCTCAGGTGGACAGTTAAGGTGTTTTATGCATACCACTGAGTGAATGTAAGAAAATGGGAGGTCCTTATGTCTGTAGATAAAAATAAATAGGTTTTTGCATTGTAATTCATGAAGACCAGTTATACTCACTACATGAATAATAGTTAATTGCTCAGTTTAAAACACAAGATTTCCCTAAACATTTAGTCTGCTATAATATCATATATACTCATAGGAATAATGCGGTAACTAAGCACATAAATGAACAAATTACAGAATGAAACTTTTTGGCAATTTCCTAATTTATTTTATTTTATTACAGCTTATGGATGAAACCCACATACTGATGTCTAACCTGTAACAAATGCCAATGTAAGTAATCCATTGTTCTACAGCCACATTTGATTATGGATGGATTGACTTTGCCTAGTCCTGCTGAATAATGATTAATTAGCAATTTCTATTTTCAATTTCAGCATTATTACAATTAGGTTTTACACACAATTTTTGCCACTCCTAACTGTTATTGCCTGCCTGCCTGCACTCTTTCCCAAATGCTAGCGAGTAGAATTAACAGAAATATATATTAAAAAATGGCTTTGATTTGGTCATGTCTAATAGTGGGGTTTTTAAGAGCTAACCTGGGAAAACAGAACGTTGGGGCAGTCATCATTTTCTAGTAGGATAATGCATTTTGTGATTCAGGTTGGCCCTGAAAGTCAATTTAAAGCCTTTCTTAGAAGAGACCACGTTAAAATAAAAATGCACAGTGAGTAAAGTACAACTCAGCACAGCAGTTAAGTCAGAAAACTGAAGTCTCGCTCTGTTTTCCATGTAAGCACAAAGCATAACATATCTGAGCACTAAATACAAAATATTAGTGTAAACACTTACCTGACTCCTCCCTTTCACCCTTTCTTCTATGCTCATTAAGTTTTTTTAATCTTTCCTTTCCTTCTATAAAGGAAAATAATTTCCTCCTCTCCATTTCAGTTTCTTCCTTTGCTTTTTCCTACTCACCTGCACAATTTCTGAAATTCCAAATTTTAAAAGGCTATGAATCCAATCCTGGGGTGAAATACCAAGTTCGGAAAGGTTTTAGCATAGCTGAAGATCAGTGAGTGTTTGTGTTCTCTCATTTCCAACAAATTCATAAAATCACCAGAATAAAGTTCATCAATGAAAATCTATTTAGATAACTGTAGTCTTAGAATGAAATCACCATTCTGTGAAGAGCTCTGCTCATACAGCAAAACATAACAATGATTTTCACTGATTTGAACTATATCATTATCTCTGGTACCTTATTTTTATGCTTATCTGTTAAGAGAAGTGCACGTTCACCTCTCTCCTTTAGTAGCCATGCTAAATGATGCACCGAATGCTTTAACAAATACAATTATTTATGTCTTTAAACACTTTATAACCACCTTACTATATTTAGAAGGAGATAAAAATAGCTAGCATTAAGACTAGTATATTGTACAGAAATGTAAATATTTTCTCTCCTGTAACAATTCATAAACAACATTTATTACCTGCAACCACTATATACATTTTTAGATGCCAGCTCTTCTAAACACAAAATCCGCCTTTACAATATTTTTTCAAGTAGCTTAATAGTCATAATATCAAATGCTGTTTCACACATAGTATCAACATTTGATGTTTCACTGACATGGTAACAGGAAGTCAGCTCAGTGTAAGTTACTTTGTAGAAGATAGTGCCAGAACTTCAAGGTGTTACCTCTCTGGAATCATGAACTCCTGCAGTCTAAAGATAATATGACATATGACAAGCAACAAGAGTAATGCCAATTTTTAGGAACCAACACTGACTAACTAAAGAATGATCTCTATATGCACTATAGAAATCTGCCCAAGAAAGAAACACCAGAATAGTTTCCTATTAAAATAATGTGCCCTCTAACAAAAAGAAAAAAAAAGCATGCTTTATTTTACTATTGTTACAGTCATCTTGGTACATAATCTATTCGTATGGCCACATGCTGGAAGGATTATTAATTTCTGAATTTGAAACTTGAGCAGAAAATCATGCATCTTGTTAGCTAAGTTTAGTCATAGACATAAATATGCAATCATAATCAATATTAAGAAGCAAAACTGCCAAATAAAAGCTTAAAACTTATTAAAATATCTGTGACAAAAAAACCCCACTGCATTTAAAAAAATGCATGCATTTAAGGGGATGCCCTATCACATTGCTTTCAATATTTCTGCTGACTCTTTAGTCTTCATGAACAACTTTCTAGGGATCAGCAAAGTAATAATTAAGAAAAGCAACCATACTGTTCATAAGCTTCAACTTATCACCAGTAGGTGCAATAATCCGCTGAAATTATTATTTATTTTTAGGAAGGTCATAGATCACAGAAAAATGTAAATCAAAGGGACCAGGGTTTAGAAACCTGAGATTTTTTTTCTGCCGTCTAGTAAGACAAACATTTAACTCACCACGTGGAAAAAAAAATCATCACATTCTTATGAGTGTTACATGAAGAGGGGAAAAGCAACCAATCAATTAATTTATGATCAGCAGATTTCAAATGATGGAACATGTCCCACTTGAAGAAGGTGCAAACTGTACGTTGGAAAGGAGAACCATTATTTTTTCACCCAGCACTTCCACAGCATCTCATTTGGATCCCTTTGTATTCACTGGTGAGGCTACACCACCAATACTGTGTTTGGGGCTTCTTGTTACAAGACAGACATTGAGGTGCTGGAGCACCAGAGAAGGGCAATGAAGCTGGTGAAGGGTCTGGAGCACAAGTCTGACGAGGAGTGGCTGAGGAAACTGAGATTGTTTAGCCTGGGGGAGGCTCAGGGGAGCCCTTATCACTCTCTACAACTACCTGAAAGGAGGTTGTAGCCAGGTGTCTCTTCTCCCAAGTGACAAGCAACAGGATGAGAAGAAATGGCCTCAAGTTGTGCCAGGGGAGGTTTAGATTGGATATTAGGAAAAATTTTCTCACTGAAGGAGTTGTCAAGCACTGGAACAGGCTGCCCAGGGAATTTAAAAGATGTGTAGACATGACGCTTAGAGAGACAGTTTAGTGGTGGACTTCGTCCTGTTAGGTTTGTAGTTAACTTGATGATCTTAAGGGCCTTTTCCAACCTAAATGATTCTATGATTCTGTTCTATGATTCATTTGTCTGTTTGCATCTGCAGTGCGGAACCCCATATGCAGGGGTAGAAGTATAGTAGGACAGAAGAGAAGCTTTAGTTAGGAGAGATTTATAGGACCATTTGTACCTTTGTGTGTAACTGTTCCTGGAGTAAGCAGAAAAGTAGGTTTTCCACTTAAGAGTCATGTGCAGGAACTGGAAAAGAAGGTGAGGTTCCAGAAGACATGGGGAAGGGTATAGCTAGGGCGGGTGTGGTGTGAGCAAGAGTCAGTTAGAGCTGTAACCATGCTTTGTAGTAAAGTGACTTCCAACTGATCCCAGTATATTTATCCAACTGTGATCTTTACACCTCTTGGAGAAACTCCTTTTCTGATACCTATTCCAAATTCTTCATTCACATACACGAATCCCCAGACCTATCGATGCACACCATCACTGCTTGTGTACCCATATGCCTTGTCTAGTCTCATGAATCCCTCTCTCTTGTCACTTACGGATGACACCAGGAAATCACCTTTTTCTACACTACAGCAGAAGTCAGTCTCCTCCCTTACATGTTCCTTTCTGACACAAGACAAAGATTCCCCTCCATCTCATATTCACCTAGTAGCTCAAGTCTGAGCAAAGACAACTTCAGAATCATATAAGTTAGCAACAGGTATTTAGGAAGATAATACAAAACATGCACAAATCACCTCATTTTACATACATGCATCAATACAAGAGTAAGAACTATGGAACACAAAAGTTAAACAGAGCATGTTCACCTGCACCTTTCTTTAGTCCCTTTTAAAATGCTACTGTCAATAACATTGTTTTCCAGTATTTTGTTTAAATTTCATAATACATAATAAAATACACCATAATAATTTTAGATTAGACAAATTATTTCTTTAAGATAAACATATTTATACCATTTGAATATGGCTTATAAGTTGGTGTGCCTAAAATTTTACACCACCATAATTCCTAACATAAATATGCACAGTATGTTAGAAAAGATAACATCTCTACAAATTACTTACGGATGTGCTTGTATGACACTCAGGTCAATAGGAAGTAAGGTATGTCAAGGGCAACTAAAATACAAATATTTTATGATGCTGGAAAATTTTCAATAGCAAAAAAAAAAAGTATCCAGAGCTGCTAAAATCTGTGCAAACACCAGTAAGGTGGCTTGAGAGCCCTGGCATTTCACAGCAGCAAGATATTCCTGATCACTAAGAGTGATATTCCAATCCTGTGGCAGGCAGGAACTCCAGGTTCAAAACCTGTACTTTAGGCTCGTTGACGCTGTGAAACCCTACGAAATAGGGAGAAAGAATCTTCTCTTCAATTTGCAGCCCCTGCTGTTAGAAAGAACAGCTATAAGTGCCTGCCTTCCTGAGTGGCAGAACTGGTCACAGCCTGCTGAGCTCACAGTTTACGGTGTGATGGCTGCTGTAATCCAACAGCCACTGCTCTCTCTGATGATAGATATGACTGAACAGTGGGGTCAGCAATATCTGGCCACTCTGACAGCCAAGGCTCCTGGATCACCACAGATCCTGCTGTGAGATCCTTCAGCAGCTCTTCAGGGTCAACAGTAGGTCTCACTCCAACTGTGAATATTTTCCTTTTATCACCTGCAATCTTTATCACTTTTTCAGACTATTTAGGAACAGGTGGACCAGCAAAAGTGCCAGTACAAACTTTTGTGAGGTGGCAATGTGAAAACTGCCCATTAGTCGCTATACTGTTCCTTATCTTCTAACACTTTACTAATCCACAAAGAATTTTAAGTGACTCTATACTTCATTTTGTTAACAGTTTTTGGTTACGGAACTTTTAAAAAACTTTTTCACTCTTTTCTGTGAATCTGTTGACTCCTTCAAATAACTTGCAAAGCTCTAAGACAAAACTACTTGTAGAAAAGCCAAGACAATGGTCGCCTGTTACACCTATCAATGTTCCTATTAACTGTATTCTTTATCATATTTACTGGCATTTTGTCTGTCATGGTAGCCAGATTTTTCAGTTCCATTAGTTCATGACCAGCACTAGAGTCCTTTTTAAAACTAGGGTCAAATTCGTTACTTTCCATTCCTCTGTTATCAAGGCTAATTTAAATGACAGATTACAAAACACAGTGCATGGCTCATCAATTTAATTTCTGACCTTTTTCTAGGACTACTGAATGAACATGTTATTTGGCAATTTATTAAAAGTTTATTCTATCAATT